GATAAGATTAGATAACTCCTGGGCGCCTGGGGAGCTCAGTCAGTTAAGCGTCCAACTTTGGCTCAGGTCATGATCTTATGGTTCGTGAGTTCGAGTCCCACATTGGGCTCTGTGCTGACAGCTCAGAGCCTGGAGCCTGCTTCGGAATCTGTGTCTCCCTCTCTCTCACACCTCCCCAGCTCACACTCTGTCTTTCTGTCTCTCAAAAATAAATAAATGAACAGTTTAAAAAATTAGAGAAAAAGATTATATAACTCCTGTGTGCTGTGTGCAAAAGATGGGGCCCGATAGCCTTGGTAAACAGTCCCAATTGAAGAAAGGGAACACGAAGTAAGCCTAGAGGTGACGAGTCCGAAGCAATGACGTAAGTCTGCTGGACAGGCACTTGGGAGGTTCTCTAAACTGAAAATGGTGGCAGTTTCTTCCTCAGCCCCAGATTCTGCTCCCTGATGGGATCCTTACCATCATTCTCCATATCCCTGGCTCCACCCCCTGGGAGGCTCTTGGTGACATTAACTCTTTTGTCCCCACGTCCTCTGCCATGGGCTAGGGTTCTGTTTTCACCTTGTTGGCTCCAGAGACTCCTGTGCTCAAGTGGAACCTTTGCACATAGTATCCTGTCGTAGACTCTAAGTCTAAAGTTCTCTTTTGTCTAGCAAAAGAGCAGACACAGGATTAAAAAGAGAGATGGCTAATGTCCAGGAAAAAGACAAGAGCCCCGAATAAGGGTCCTTGCTCCATATTTATTCAGATCAGAAGGCTTGCAAACGTGATGGGTGTGTACAAAGAGACAAAGAACCTAGGAACATTAACTTGTGGATGTGAGGGGGAAAAGGGGATTTTGAAGATATACAGTGTTTGGGGTTTGGGTCACTATAAAACAAAATCCAGGTGCCGAGCAGATGGGTAGATGGCTGTTAACAGCAGACAGGAGGCACCGTGCCTGTTTATCTTTGCCAGCCTAGGGGATGAGACAGACAGGGAATAACCTCAGGGTTGACAAGACACCTTTTCTTTTGTTAACCATCTCCACTCCGGGCTGCTTTGCCTGCAGCGCAGTTGTCCAAAGTCCAATTCACCAATTTACCTGACCTGGCCCTATTCTCCTATGAAAGTAGGTCTCTGCTATAGTACCAAACTTGGGGTGCTTTCACCCTGAATCTCTAATCTCGTTATTCCTGTGTGTTGGGCACCTTGGCGCCGATTCTATTTCAGGCCTTTGCCTCTCTCTATTTTTGGGGGTTCAGCACCCCCTCCCTATTTTGGGGTGCCTTTGCACCTCCCTATTCTTGGCACCTTTGTGCCTCCCTATTCTTGGAGTGCCAATCTGGTGTGAGCATTTTATGACTTTGTGTTTATGCCTTGTTAACCCATTGCTGTAGGCCCCGGGGATTCCTAAGCTTATCCCCCGTAGTATCCCTCGAAGGAGAGCATTTATCCAAAGCCACAGTGCCTTCAAAGAATGCCTCAAATATCTGTCAGGGTCTGGTTCTGAGAATAAGAAGTTTTAAAAGTCGATTTTCGTGGAAGCATTGGTAGGTGAAAAGAGAGATGAAAAGGCCACACGAAGGTATAGGGGACAGCAGGGGCCATCGGAGGAAACTTGTGGAAATGCTTCTCTGCGTGTGTATCGATTTCTGGTTCTTTTTGCAAATTAGCAGCAGGAACTTTGCCATGTGTCTGGCCAGCTGCTCTGCTGGGTCTCTTGGAAGCAAAGCCTGTGGCTACTTCAAGGTTTCCAACCAGACTCTGCACCATCCTTCGGACTCCTCCTGTGCTTACTAAAGGGCCTCAGGCAGAGATGCCCGTAACACGCAAGGCTGAGCGACACAGGCTAAAATTGCCGCTCCCTGTCAGGACAGCCTCACATGAACCCTGGCCTCCGCCTTTCTGGGGTTGACCATCTTATCGCAGGTTGAAGTTCGTCCCTCTAGTGGCAGAGAGGGGAAAGCCGCAATGCCGAAAAGCACGCGGCTTGGATGAAGCTCTTCCTGCTTTACCCGGAAGGACAACTGCGGGGATGCGTGCGGTGACAGAGGCACGGTGCAGCAGCGTGAACTGCCGAGGAGCTGCGCCTTTCGTCTCGGTGCATTCTCATTCATCA